ATGTTTAGTCATGTTTATTTTGTGCTGAAACTGGTATTAATGTGGAGGAGATGATCCGTTCACGTGCGCTATACACGCTGCCGCGTCTGTTGAACTGAGGCACTTCAGCGATCTGTCACTTCACATTAAACAGCGCCAAAACGGCATTTATTGTTTGAATACCGCAATACAATGGAAAGAATTTGAAATCTGAGACTTTGTTTCATATTAAAAGTACCAAAGGACAAAGCTTATTGCCATATATTGGATGGGAAGTGCCCTTCATCGTTCCGTCCATTAACTGAAAACAGGCTAGAATGATCGATTCTTGGGATTTAAGAATCGATATCGTTCCGTAAAAATAAGAATCGATTAATATCGATATCAATATTTTTTACCCAGCCCTAATATAGAATGGATATATTCATTTTTGTGCCCTCTATAGATAACACACATATGTGAAGAACATACTGTATCTGCATTTTTCTGACCTGCATTAGATCTGGAATGTTCAGGATGTCTTCAATCAGACTGAACAGTAGATGAGGCAGTTCCAACTCTTTGCCCAGTGTATCAACATCACCAGACTGACAGCTCTGAACAATGTTCCTGAGGATCTTTAGTGGCTGTAGAGTTGAAGAGGCCTCTTCACCCTTCCTGACCAATAGCTGGACAGATCCGTGAGTCTTTAAACACTAATTCACACTCACTTACCAATTTCAGATGTCTTGTGACATTTAACAGAACGTTACCTGGCTTTTGGTTACAAGCAACTTGGTCTTTAACCTCTGAAGAATGGAAGTGTTTACAGGGCCCTGATAACTTAAATCAATAAATCGTTGCCACTCAGAATCACTATCGATATCTTGTTCCTGCATGATGAATAGTGTTCTATTTAGTGGGAGATATTAGCAGTTGGCTGTGGTGAAATTCGCATTATAAATTTTAATTATTAAAAAACAACCTCACTGTCCATCCTGACAGAAGCCAGACTGGTCCGTGCATGTCCAGGGGGCTTCAGAAGCTGCCAGGGTCCCACCTCAACCGAAGGGAACTCCCTCTCATAGTCTCTACTGATCTGGCCTTTATGTGGAGCTGACCGCACTCTAAAAACAAAAAGGAACATGGGGATGCTGTTGTTGTTGTATTACAGTATTTATTGCCATATCAACATCACAGGCTATTACATGGCAGATACAGATCCAACATTCAACAAACAATAATAAATACAGATATTCTGTATAATTCAATTTGGAAACAAAAATATGATTCACAACTCGATAAAAAATTATTTAAAGGGGTCATATGATGCGATTTCAAGTTTTCCTTTCTCTTTGGAGTGTTACAAGCTGATTGTGTATAGATAAGATCCCTGAAGTTGCGAAGACTAAAGTCACAAACCCAAAGAGATATTCTTTATCAAAGTTAAGACTCTGCCACGCCCCCCTAAAACGGCTCGTTCTAACACGCCCCCACATATCTAGGTCACTATGTGGAAATATTTGCATAATGCCGCCCAAATGTTCACGCAAAGAAAGAAGGCGTGGTTTCAGTAACCGCAGTTAGTGTTGAAGCAGCCATGTCAGGGAGACGCTGTGTGTTCCTAGGCAAAAGCAAAAGCACTTTAAGGAATTCTTAAGATGACTTACAACAGAACAGCAATGCATTTTATGGACGACCGTTTCGTGAACCTAGGAGAGGAGGTAATTCTGACTTTGCTATGACAATCTGGCGCTTCTGAATCAGCTTCTGTTTTGTTATAAGTATTTGCT